GGGAGAAAAACGACTGTTTATATATGAATGTGGTATATTTAGCATATGTTGATCGATCCATTGATATATAATATCAGAAATACAATATTGTAAATGAATAATTAATAAATATCATTGATTTTTTTACGATCTATATTATGCTGCGTAATGATTTACATGCAAACAGTGACGTCATGAAACGTGAATGGTGATATTCATGCGCCATTCAGACACTTGTACCGTGGGATTTTTTTTTTACGTCGTGGCGGAAATAAACGGGTGGGAAAAAAATGATCATCCCCTACCCTCAGAGGATGTGACGGAGAAATCTCCAACCATCGGGGTGATTTTTTTGTAGTCTAACTCTCGGCAGAGCCTCGGGTTAGACAACAACAAAAAAAAAAAACAAAAAAACTTCGAGTTGGAGATTTCTCGATCACACCCTCAGGGTAGGGGAAGATTCTATTAATCTATGGGAAAACTGAAGAGGAACATGATCAGCGTTAGAGGAAGGTTATGGACAGAATACTGGAATCCGGATTGAAATTGAACAAAGAAAAAGGTGAATTTGGTAAATCACATATCGAATACTTCGGTCATGTCGTGCATTGCCATGTATCATATCTTAAGTAGATGTTTCAAAAAAGGAATCAAGTCACACTTCTTTTTCAGGCGAATGTTTAATTTCATGAGCTGATGAAATTTTGTGTTTACCTTATATGAAGTCGCTAGCTTATTTTAATAAATTTCAATTATTACTTAATGTGGTCTTTTAATTTCTTTTTATACGATACTAATTTGGATTTGTCAGATTCACATCATGGGTGTCGTCGATGAAGCAGAAAACGCCTTACCATTCGAAACGCAAGATCTTGCTCTCCTTGAACGTTTGCAGAAGTCTCAATGTTATGTGTTGCGCAAGTAAGGTCTATAGCTGCACATTTAAGATCGTTGCCAGTTGGCTCATCATCAAATAAAACGTATTGACCGCAGACTGTCTGCCAGTCCGTCCTTCTCTCCGTATCTAATATTTTATCAACATATTTCTTTTTAGGAACGTCGTGTCAATATATTCTTCTCATATTTCATTTATAGAGTTCCTTTTGCCACTTACTGTATAATTTTGATAAAGGTTGTTTGCTAGGGATCATTTTAATGGAGGTTGTTTGCTAGGGATCATTTTGATGGAGGTTGTTTGTTAGGGATCATTTTGATGGAGGTTGTTTGTTAGGGATTGTTTTCAAAGACATATGACACGTTAAGCCTTGAATAACCCTAAACTCGACCGCAAGTAAAACATATTTTAAAATATTGTTTGGATTCAATGTACTAAAATCGTTATAATCAGGAAAACATTAGTTTAACAGGTCGCCGACAATACAGCAAGGTTTTAATGTACTATCGTAAACACGACAATATGGTAAGGGTTTAATGTAGTATTGTAAACACGACAATACAACAAGGCTTTAATGTAATATCGTAAACACGACAATACAACAAGGCTTTAATGTACTATCGTAAACACGACAATACAACAGGGCTTTAATGTACTATCGTAAACACGACAATACGGGAATGTTTTAATGTATTATTGTAAACACGACAATACAACAAGGTTTTAATGTATTATTGTAAACACGACAATACAGCAAGGTTTTAATGTATTATTGTAAACACGACAATACAAGGGTTTAATGTATTGTTGTAAATACGACAATATAACAAGGGTTTAATGTATTATTGTAAACACTACAATACAACCAGGGTTTAATGTATTATTGTAAACACGACAATACAACAAGGTTTTAATGTATTATTGTAAACACGACAATACAACAAGGATTTAATGTATTATTGTAAACACGACAATACAACAAGGGTTCAATGTATTATTGTAAACACGACAATACAACAAGGGTTTGATGTATTATTGTTAACACGACAATACGGCAAGGTTTTAATGTATTATCGTAAACACGACAATACAACAAGGGTTCAATGTATTATTGTAAACACGACAATACAACAAGGGTTTCATGTACTATCGAAAACACGCAATACAACAAGGTTTTAATGTATTATCGTAAACACGACAATATAACAAGGGTCTAATGTATTATTGTAAACACTACAATACAACCAGGGTTTAATGTATTATTGTAAACACGACAATACCGCAAGGTTTTAATGTATTATTGTAAACACGACAATACAACAAGGATTTAATGTATTATTGTAAACACGACAATACAACAAGGGTTCAATGTATTATTGTAAACACGACAATACAACAAGGGTTTGATGTATTATTGTTAACACGACAATACGGCAAGGTTTTAATGTATTATCGTAAACACGACAATACAACAAGGGTTCAATGTATTATTGTAAACACGACAATACAACAAGGGTTTCATGTACTATCGAAAACACGCAATACAACAAGGTTTTAATGTATTATCGTAAACACGACAATACAACAAGGTTTTAATGTATTATCGTAAACACGACAATACAACAAGGGTTTCATGTAGTATTGTAAACACGACAATACGGCAAGGTTTTTTTTATGTATTATTGTAAACACGACAATACAACAAGGGTTCAATGTATAATTTTAACCTCGACAATACAGCAAGGTTTTAATGTATTATCGTAAACACGACAATACAACAAGGTTTTTATGTATTATTGTTAACACGACATTAGAACAAGGGTTCAATGTATAATTTTAACCTCAACAATACAGCAAGGTTTTAATGTATTATCGTAAACACGACAATACAACAAGGTTTTAATGTATTATCGTAAACACGACAATACAACAAGGTTTTAATGTATTATTGTAAACACGACATTACAACAAGGGTTTAATGTAGTATTGTAAACACGACAATACGGCAAGGGTTTAATGTATTGTCGTAAACACGACAATACAACAAGGGTTTAATGTAGTATTGTAAACACGACAATATGGTAAGGGTTTAATGTAGTATTGTAAACACGACAATACGGCAAGGTTTAAATGTATTATTGTAAACACGACAATACAGCAAGGTTTTAATGTATTATTGTAAATACGACAATACAAGGGTTTAATGTATTATTGTAAATACGACAATATAACAAGGGTTTAATGTATTATCGTAAACACTACAATACAACCAGGGTTTAATGTATTATTGTAAACACGACAATACAACAAGGTTTTAATGTATTATTGTAAACACGACAATATAACAAGGGTTTAATGTATTATTGTAAACACGACAATACAACAAGGTTTTAATGTATTATTGTAAATACGACAATATAACAAGGGTTTAATGTATTATCGTAAACACTACAATACAACCAGGGTTTAATGTATTATTGTAAACACGACAATACACAAGGTTTTAATGTATTATTGTAAACACGACAATATAACAAGGGTTTAATGTATTATTGTAAACACGACAATACAACAAGGATTTAATGTATTATTGTAAACACGACAATACAACAAGGGTTTAATGTATTATTGTAAACACGACAATACAACAAGGTTTTAATGTATTATCGTAAACACGACAATACAACAAGGGTTTAATGTATTATTGTAAACACAACAGTACAGCAAGGGTTTAATGTATTATTGTAAACACGACAATATGGTAAGGGTTTAATCTATTATTGTAAACACGACGTTACAGCAAGGTTTTAATGTACTATCGTAAACACGACAATACCGCAAGGTTTTAATGTATTATTGTAAACACGACAATACAACAAGGTTTTAATGTATTATTGTAAACACGACAATACAACAAGGTTTTAATGTATTATCGTAAACACGACAATACAACAAGGTTTTAATGTATTATTGTAAACACGACAATACAACAAGGTTTTAATGTATCATCGTAAACACGACAATACAACAAGGTTTTAATGTATTATTGTAAACACGACAATACAACAAGGTTTTAATGTATCATCGTAAACACGACAATACAACAAGGGTTTGATGTATTATCGTAAACTCGACAATACAACAAGGTTTTAATGTATTATCGTAAACACGACAATACAACAAGGTTTTAATGTATTATCGTAAACACGACAATACAACAAGGGTTTAATGTATCATCGTAAACACGACAATACAACAAGGGTTTAATGTATTATCGTAAACACGACAATACAACAAGGGTTTAATGTATTATCGTAAACACGACAATACAACAAGGTTTTAATGTATTATCGTAAACACGACAATACAACAAGGTTTTAATGTATCATCGTAAACACGACAATACAACAAGGGTTTAATGTATTATTGTAAACACGACAATATAACAAGGGTTTAATGTATTATCGTAAACACGACAATACAACAAGGTTTTAATGTATTATTGTAAACACGACAATACAACAAGGTTTTAATGTATCATCGTAAACACGACAATACAACAAGGGTTTAATGTATTATTGTAAACACGACAATATGGTAAGGGTTTAATGTATTATTGTAAACACGACAATACAGCAAGGTTTTAATATATTATTGTAAACGCGACAATACAGCAAGGGTTTAATGTATTATTGTAAACACGACAGTACAGCAAGGGTTTAATGTATTATCGTATGTTACCCATAAAATACAAGATCAACAATGTCGCATTTTCATCCCTTTATCTTATATAAACAATTACAATGTATACACAGTGACTATACGAGGCATTATTCATGATTGGTAAATAATGGTGAAGATTCTCAATAAATAACCATCTTGTTACCGTTTTGAGATTTGAAATTGGAAATGTGTTTAGAGCGCACCGCTTAGCCAGGTGAATTCTGATCACGGTAAATGATTCAGAAAATTTAAGAACTGATAAACAATCGTCTACAAATAAGTTCTTTGATATAAAAATACAAGATCGAATACCTCAACAAAAATCAAAAAGAAAGAAGACTAAAAACTGACAACGAAATATTCGTTATTGGACTGATGAAGGACGTCACGGGCCTCATTTTGGTTACACCCAGCCTTTGCCCTTAGGCGCGTTGGTTTTGGCCGGCGGTTTCTGTCCGGTGTTGCCACCTCGTTTCAGGGCATCCTGGACCTTGTTCCACGAGCTGTTCTTTTTGTTCTTGAGCTTGTTTTTGTTGTTGGTAAGCTGTTTTCGGGTGTTACACACCAGTCCTAGGGCCACACACGAAAGCACGAGGGTTACTAACAAGACACTGTAGCTGACCAGCTGGTATATGGTCATACAGGAGGACCCCATCACAATACCTGTCAATCAAACGCTACACTTCATAACCAAGGCAACAGTTGGGAGCTAACTAGATGAATAAGTAAAAATGCTTTTCATTGTAAATTATTTCATTTACTGTTTTTTTTCTTTTGAACATTTTTTCTTCCAAATTCGTGCAATTTAATTTTTAAAAACGACTCTTCTGAAATAAAGATTTCCTGGAGTGTCTTCAACATATCCTACTCAAGACGCTGTGATATCTTACCTGGAGTGTCTTCAACATATCCTACACGAGACGCTGTGATATCTTACCTGGAGTGTCTTCAACATCTCCTACACGAGACGCTGTGATATCTTACCTGGAGTGTCTTCAACATATCCTACACGAGACGCTGTGAGATCTTACCTGGAGTGCCTTCACATTTTTTAGACGAGCCGCTGTGATATCTAACCTGGAGTGTCTTCACATTTCTTAGACGAGGCGCTGTGATATCTTACCTGGAGTGGCTTAACATTTCTAAGACGAGGCGCTGTGATATCTAACCTAGAGTGTCTTAACATTTCTTAGACGAGACGCTGTGATATCTAACCTGGAGTGTCTTAACATTTCTTAGACGAGGCGCCGTGATATTTAACCTGGAGTGTCTTCACATTTCTTAGACGAGGCGCTGTGATATCTAACCTGGAGTGTCTTAACATGTCTTAGACAAGGCGCTGTGATATCTAACTGGAGTGTCTTCACATTTCTTAGACGAGGCGCTGTGATATCTAACCTGGAGTGTCTTCACATTTCGTAGACGAGGCGCTGTGATATCTAACCTGGAGTGTCTTAACATTTCTTAGACGAGGCGCTGTGATATCTAAGCTAGAGTGTCTTAACATTTCTTAGACGAGGCGCTGTGAGATCTTACCTGGAGTGCCGTTACATATGTCAGTCGTCGTACACGAGGCGCTATAGTAATTTGTGGATCTCTTGTCTGGAAAGGAATTAATTATGCATTAAAAGGCTGCTGATACGTGTACACTATATATCTTTCTACCAGCGTAATGTTAAAAAGTATATTACCGCATTACTTTGTCTTCATCGATAATCTTATGACCTGTATATGATGTGAAGTTATTTTCACGTCCATCGTACTTATACAGGGCTTATCCTTCTGACTGTGGACTCAGGTTTCATCTATACCACCTCGTAATACCTCTAAATAAAATAGATTTTAACAGAGAATATCATCGTCTTAATAATAATGTGATAATGTGGCTCATCGGTCTCTCTGCTGAGATGATGTTGTCGATGTCCGGTCTCTCTATAAAGGTGATGTTGTCTATGTCCGGTCTCTCTATAAAGTTGATGTTGTCTATGTCCGGTCTCTCTATAAAGGTGATGTTGTCTATGTCCGGTCTCTCTATAAAGGTGATGTTGTCTATGTCCAGTCCCTCTATAAAGGTGATGTCTATGTCCGGTCCCTCTATAAGGTGATGTTGTCTATGTTCGGTCCCTCTATAAGGTGATGTTGTCTATGTCCAGTCTCTCTATAGAAGTATTGTCGATCCCAGGTCTCTGAGGAGTTGATGTCAATCCTCGATCTCACTACGAACGTAATGTTGTCGATGCTCGGCCACTTTATAGGGCTACTATTGTTGGTTCCAAACTCTCTTTAGAGGTTATGATGATGATATCTTATCAGATTTCCTGGTCTCTGGAGAGGTATGGCTTTGACAGTTACTTCTCGGGCCCCTTTAGAGAGGTAATAATGTGTATCACATGGTCTCTGACAAAACGACAAAACCATGCTATTTTTGCGACAGAAATGTTCTCTGAAGAATAGTTCTTACAGATAATATATTGTGTAATTGACTCATTGTTAAATTTACTATACACGTGACATGACAACGAACTTACCTGTATAATCGGTAGGTGTACTGCAGATAGGACCCCCCACGACCTCTATGCCTGCCGTGCTAAACTTCTCCAGAAACCATAATGCCTCACAAGTGCAGTCCCACTGCAATCCCGTCATGTCCACGGTCGATAAAGCATCTAGACCCTCAAACACGTTATCCGTAAGAGCGGTGATAGCGTTGTTTGAGAGGACGATTGACGTCAGAGCTTTGTTTAGCGAGAACGTAGTTGTCGTCACTTCCGTTAAACCAGCGTTGTTGAAGTCGAACCTCTTGGTTGATGTCAGATGATCCAGCATGTTAGCAGGGAATGTCCCAGGGGTGGCACAGTTCTTTATTGTGAAATCACCGGACGGGTCAGGGACGGATAGCTTCGAGACGTTGAGACCAGTGAAGGATCCAGCATCCAGTGCGGCTATACTCCCGCCCTCGATCCGGAAGTAGTTAAGGCTACCAAATTCGGCGAACGCGCTGGCTGGGATGGATAGGATTTTACAGTTTTTGATGGTCACGCCCTCCAGGTAGCCCATGTCCGCAAAGACACCGGCTTGAAATGTGGTGTCAGTGTTCGACACACATTCAATCTCTAGGCTAGCCACATAGTTCCCGTCAAAATTTGTGGCCGTGAAGCTGGAAAATCCAGAAAACAACGGTGAACTGATGGTGCCAGAAACTTTGTATATCCGGAGACGCTGTGGGTACGGATTGGAAAAGCCACTGTAAGCTAAGGGTGTCGAAATGGAGGTAAAGTCACAACTGTATACACCAACCGAGGCATCTGTGGCGTCGTACGCACAACCCGCGGGGTACGTCTGTCCCAACCCCCCAGGCACCGTCACTATGCATAACACTACCGCCAAGATGATCGCAGCCATCTTGATACGGCCTGTTCTGGTTAACTCCGTACTATTAACTATGTCCGCGGTTAATGTCAGTTGTTTCGAAACAGGCCGTTGTACAAGTTAGGGCTGTGCTGTGGCAATAACACTGTGTCCTTAAGACTACCGAGAGAAAACATTAATCTCTTTTAATTCAAATATAATCACAGTGCTTGCTATTATTACAGAATCCGAAGACGCAATACACAAATACATGTTGACCTTAATCTAGGTTAATACTGTTAATTCCGTGGAATCGCAGCCAAGTAAAATATTTCACCCAGGATGCCAAAATCTCACTGAAGCCAGTTCACTCCTATGTGTTCTATATCCGCTTTTTTCGGACAGATAAACCATTATAAGGTGAGACATTGTGTTTGATATGGCCTGATCTTGGAGCTGGCTGACGACGCATTGACCTCTAAATTACGGATCAATATTCAATACAATTTTCAGAGTAAATAGCCTGATAAGAGGATCATGGGCTTTAAAGTGTTACAGGGTAGACTTCAAACTACAACATAACACAACTATTGTCATTTTACTGAAATAACGAACCGTTGCTGACGTAAGACAAGTATTTTTCCCTATACAAAGTCCGATACTGAAATAACGAACCGTTGCTGACGTAAGACAAGTATTTTTCCCTATACAAAGTCCGATACTGAAATAACGAACCGTTGCTGACGTAAGACAAGTATTTTTCCCTATACAAAGTCCGATACTGAAATAACGAACCGTTGCTGACGTAAGACAAGTATTTTTCCCTATACAAAGTCCGATACTGAAATAACGAACCGTTGCTGACGTAAGACAAGTATTTTTCCCTATACAAAGTCCGATACTGAAATAACGAACCGTTGCTGACGTAAGACAAGTATTTTTCCCTATACAAAGTCCGATACTGAAATAACGAACCGTTGCTGACGTAAGACAAGTATTTTTCCCTATACAAAGTCCGATACTGAAATAACGAACCGTTGCTGACGTAAGACAAGTATTTGTCCCTATACAAAGTCCGATACTGAAATAACGACCGTTGGTGACGAAAGACAAGTATTTGTCCCTATACAAAGTCCGATAAATACTTTTTCGGCCTTTAGATACTCAGCTTGCCTAGAGTAAACAAAACAGTGTTTTTGACATAGTCTAAGTCGAGTAATCCATTTATTTCCATACTTTCCTCCATTTGTAAATTATATATTGACGTAGGGATAGTCACATGGTTACTAATATAATGGTCTGAACATAATAAAATTTTCTTCTTCTGCACATTGTTATCTGACGGCTTCAACTCTTTCTCTCCAACAAGAATTCAAAACCAACTGATATTTGTATAAAAAAACACGCGCAGTACAATACGTTTTAATTGAACATTTTTATTAAAATTGATTCTGTTATCAATAACAGATCCTCAATTCTATACTTCTTTAATACTTCTTAATGTCTTTTCACCTGTATCTGTCTTTACTGTCGTTTTCTCTTCCCTTGTTGTCCTTTTTATGATGTGTTCATGTCCGTCAGCGACTCTTTTCGGCTATGACATAGAGCTTTTTACGATATTCGGCATCGCTGTTCTTGCGTCTGTCCTTCAGATGCAGTTTTTCCTTTTTCTGTCTGACGTCCGTCGTTGCTGTTAACTTTTATCGTTGTAATGATGTCTGTCCTTTCGATGGCGACTGTCCTGGCTGGCCTTATTAGGAGTTTTGTTCTTGTTCTTAGAAATCTGATATTATCAGTCCAGTAATTATGTAACTTTCCCAAGTTTGAATAACCAGAGGCATGTTTTCCTCTTCGGAAAAAAGGAACCGAATGTCGAACAAGTTGGTTTTCAGTGAAATAGTTCTCGTGTACATTTCTGGTTTTCTCCACTTCGGAATATTAAAACAGTTTTGTAAGCCATCAAGATAACAGCATAACATGGTAAAATACAATGTAAAGAAGCCTATTCAAAACGGCGTCGTCTTGTTGTCCGGCGTTACGTCAAACTATCTGTAATCAAAGGAGCGCGCTTACATTTTCCGAACCTTTTTAACACTTACTCATTTTAGATTTGAATCAGTCTTATTTTCATTTGATTTTCCTTTTAAAATGTTTAAAATGTTAAAAAAAATAGAGGATATTTATTAGTTTCCCGTTTATAATCATGTGTATTTCACTTGTGTGGCAGAATATCTTAAGATTAGAAATGGAGTATGATATTCTTGTATGTTATGTAGATGGAGTATGATATTCTTGTATTGTATGTAGATGGAGTATCATATTTTTGTATTGTATGTAGATGGAGTATGATATTCTTGTATTGTATGTAGATGGAGTATGATATTCTTGTATGTTATGTAGATGGAGTATCATATTTTTGTATTGTATGTAGATGGAGTATCATATTCTTGTATGTTATGTAGATGGAGTATCATATTCTTGTATGTTATGTAGATGTATGTTATGTATGAGTATGTATCATATTCTTGTATTGTATGTAGATGGAGTATGATATTCTTGTATGTTATGTAGATGGAGTATCATAGTCTTGTATGTTATGTAGATGGAGTATCATATTCTTGTATTGTATGTAGATGGAGTATGATATTCTTGTATGTTATTTAGATGAAGTATCATAGTCTTGTATGTTATGTAGATGGAGTATCATATTTTTGTATTGTATGTAGATGGAGTATCATATTCTTGTATGTTATGTAGATGGAGTATCATATTCTTGTATGTTATGTCGATGGAGTATGATATTCTTGTATGTTATGTAGATGGAGTATGATAGTCTTGTATTGTATGTAGATGGAGTATCATATTCTTGTATGTTATGTAGATGTAGTATAATATTCTTGTATCTTATGTAGATGGAGTATGATAGTCTTGTATGTTATGTCGATGGAGTATTATATTTTCGTATTGTATGTAGTTGGAGTATCATATTCTTGTATGTTATGTAGATGGAGTATGATATTCTTGTATGTTATGTCGATGGAGTATTATATTCTTGTATTGTATTTAGATGGAGTATGATATTCTTGTATTGTATGTAAATGGAGTATCATATTTTTGTATTGTATGTAAATGGAGTATCATATTCTTGTATGTTATGTCGATGGAGTATGATATTCTTGTATGTTATGTAGATGGAGTATGATATTCTTGTATTGTATGTAGATGGAGTATGATATTCTTGTATGTTATGTAGATGGAGTATGATATTCTTGTATGTTATGTAGACGGAGTATCATAGTCTTGTATGTTATGTAGATGGAGTATCATATTCTTGTATTGTATGTAGATGGAGTATCATAGTCTTGTATCGTATGTAGATGGAGTATGATATTCTTGTATGTTATGTAGATGGAGTATCATATTCTTGTATTGTATGTAGATGGAGTATGATATTCTTGTATTGTATGTAGATGGAGTATGATATTCTTGTATGTTATGTAGATGGAGTATGATATTCTTGTATGTTATGTAGATGGAGTATCATATTTTCGTATTGTATGTAGATGGAGTATCATATTCTTGTATGTTATGTAGATGGAGTATGATATTCTTGTATGTTATGTCGATGGAGTATTATATTCTTGTATTGTATTTAGATGGAGTATGATATTCTTGTATTGTATGTAGATGGAGTATCATATTTTTGTATGTTATGTAGATGGAGTATGATATTCTTGATATTCTTGTATTGTATGTAGATGGAGTATGATATTCTTGTATTGTATGTAGATGGAGTATGATATTCTTGTATGTTATGTAGATGGAGTATGATATTCTTGTATTGTATGTAGATGGAGTATGATATTCTTGTATGTTATGTAGATGGAGTATGATATTCTTGTATGTTATGTAGATGGAGTATGATATTCTTGTATTGTATGTAGATGGAGTATGATATTCTTGTATGTTATGTAGATGGAGTATGATATTCTTGTATTGTATGTAGACGGAGTATGATATTCTTGTATTGTATGTAGATGGAGTATGATATTCTTGTATTGTATGTAGATGGAGTATGATATTCTTGTATTGTATGTAGATGGATTTCTGGTTAAGGATGAAGTCCAATTCAAAGAACTATTTTAGCAGAATTGTTTTTACAAGTGTCATTTTTGGTCACAATCATCCATTGGGCAAGACGTAATTACTTCCCTTAAAATAATTTCATGCCAACTTATAAAGAATGAATTCAACATACACTCACCAAAAAATTCAAAACACTTTTGATAATTTCATGAAAATAATTGCTGATGTTACAGTTGAGTCAAATGTCCGTCCAGGCCCGTGTATTTGCCCGTTTATTTTTGTCTGACTTACATGTCGTTCCAATTGTGTCTTTTTATATCAGTGTTGTCCTGGTCTGTTTATATAAGTTGAATGTTTGTCTTTACAATATTTGCTAACAGTACACCGATGGGCTTATTAGATAAAGTAAAGCACAAATTAAATTTCCATGTAGTGTTCAAATCTAGTTCCTATTCCGTTACATTCAGTCTACATTCTAAGCTTTCTTTATACAGCTTAAACTTTCAGATGACCTATTTTCATATATTTCATATGTCACTGACCTAAATGGATAAGAAATCATCACTTGCAGGTTAATATGCAACATAGGAATTCTATGTTTTTTAAATTTAGAACATATGTGGGCTATATTTCTAAACCTAGAACAGTCGGACCACGTGAACCGTGTAATATATTGTGTAAGACGATAATGTATGATATTCTGTTGAGGATCTTTGTTTATTAAAATGTCTAAAATTTGGTACTCCGTAAACAAAATAAACACATTTTTTTATTTATTATTTTTTTCGGTCAAAAAGACTATGTTATGATAAATGTATACCAGGCACAGGGCAACTACCAATTACTGGCAAATTAGTACAAACTTATATATATATATATATATATATATATATATATATATATAAATCAAGGACCTTTGATTTCGGTCAATATGGTGTTGAATCAGCCTGGTAGAATAATATTGAACAAGGACTTCGCCTTCGGTCAATATTTTTCCTTCCAGACCTCATTGTATATCGATAATTGATAAATATCATAAATTTAACGTGACAAGTTTGTTAATTCAATTGCAACATTTAATGTAATATCCTATATATAGGTGGTCATCTATGGATAGATTCCGAACTGGTCATTAGTCTGATGAAGATGACCGTGTAGTCATCGAAATGTCACACTCTGATCTCCTACTGGTTGTGTTATAAGATGAAGGTTACCGTGTAGTCATCGAAACGTCCCACTCTAATCTTCTACTGGTTGTGGTATAAGATGAAGGTGACCGTGAAGTCATAGAAACGTCACACTCTTATCTTCTACTGGTTGTGGTATAAGATTAAGGTGACCGTGTAGTCATCGAAACGTCACACTCTAATCTTCTACTGGTTGTGTTATAAGATGAAGGTGACCGTGTAGTCATCGAAATGGCACACTCTAATCTTCTACTGGTTGTGTTATAAGAATTTCTATTCTATTGACATTACCTACCTGAAGAAAATGTACCTAAACATCATCATCTCTTTCAAAACTGCCTTTTATTCGAGCATGTGAGATTACAATGCTCAGTCTCAGATCTGTGTCTGATTGGCATGGGGTGTGTAATTACCAATCAGACGGCTTTCTTGTAGATATTCGATTAATAAACTTCTCAATGTGTTTAATATAAACAATAATACATTGCAGGTTCATTACGAATCCTTCGCGGACTTCAGGAATGACCAATCTGTTATATATAGTCCTTTTGAAACTTACTCAAACTGACATCAATAAAATACGCGAAACAATATCAAATTAATAGAATATTGATTTTTTCTTGATCAATAAAAATTATATTTCATCCTGCAACTCTCACGATGAAAAATGAATAAAGAAACAAAGAACATTCTGTATCTAATTGTGAACTATGCTGGAGCGTATTTCGGGAACATAGCATGAATTACCAATGATAAAGTTGTAAGAATGATGGAATTTCTTGTTAAATCTTCGCTGATATCTTCCAATAGACCATTTGCATACACATTGGAACAAACAGTGCTCTTGGTTACCAAAGTACAACGCAGATATCAAACTCATTCCGTTCATTTTAAGATGTAGTGATGACTTTAAACAACATCATGGCTGTACCGATTGGATATAAGTTGCCAATCTCTTGATTATTTACATGTTACCATGCAATCATTCCTGATACTCATTTTAAGAAAAAGTCACAGTTGATAAAATGTCTTGATGATTTCCAAAACTATTTTGTGATAGATGTCGACCTGTCGGAAAAAGAACTTTGAAAGTTTGAAAGATTCTTAATAACGAAGACTAGTGAAAAGAATTATAGTCATTAAAATATCTTTGCTAACATTTCCATGATTTTAATTAATACAGTCGAAAATAGAAAACCTCTTACCCCAATTAATTTCTATTCAATAGATGTATGTGATTTGTACACATATGGACACTACAATTGATCAATTGTCGTTTTAATTATAATGTGAACTTGATGCGTTCCACTAATCAATTCCTCCTAGATCCAGCCGGCGTTTTTTGGCGGTCCGGTAGATGCGGGTGGTTTTTGTCCGCCTCCTCCCCTTCTCATGGCTTCTTGGACCTTGAGCCACGAGCTTTTCTTCTTCATCTCGAGCTTTAACCGTGCGCTGCGTAGGCTTGTGCGCGTGCCAATGATAAGTCCGAGCCCCAAGGCAGATAGAATGAGCACGAGGATGAGTAGGGCGTAGTTCGCTAGCTGCCAGGCGGTGATACATGAATTATAGGCCACAATACCTGTAAGTAAATTGTCATGTTTATTGATGGCTTGGTATACACGTGGCAAACGTCACAATATACAATAATGGAATAATTTCAAATTTGAAATAAACAACAAAATTTGAAAGGATGTCTATTCACGTCAATTCTGGAAACAAACTGATGTTTTGATGAATACACATGGTTGATGAAAGTACATTGATAAGGAACATCACGTGACTACTATATAACGTAAAATTTTTTTAACTGTCGGATAAATCAATATAGAATTTACGAATTTCTCTAAAAAATGCATAAATCGACAATCTACTATATACGGTATCATAGTCATAAAAAACCACATATATAAGGTCAAAGTTTTATTGTGTAAAAAAATAACGAAAACACAACTGATGTCATACACACGGCACACACTTGGATATTTGGCACTTTTGTAATCGTTTATTAAAACACGGAAGTAAATTTAGTGGGAAAGGACTCGTCTTGGACCCCCAGTTTTGGATACCTTGTACCATTGTCGTGTTTGACGTCATGGAATCAGTTACTACTGTAGACTGAAAGTGCAAAATCATTTACAAAAAAAGCAACAAAATCAAAAACAAAACAAACAAACAAAAAAGAAAAGAAAAAGAGGAAAGAAATCATTAAGATCAAATAGATTTGAAAGAATCAAAGATAAAATCCAAGTTATTTCAGTGGAGTTATAATCAGATTCGGTCAACGACATATTGGATCCAGTGAAGTATTTGATATGATAGTTTATGTGGAATCTTTGAATTGGTCAATACAACAGAGCCCGTGACATGTTAGATTAAGTGGAGTCTTCGATACGAATGCCCCAATGGGACAGTGATTCACTCCAGTGGAAAGAGCGACGCATTGGATTAGTGGAGTCAATGACTCACAGGATCTAGTGGAGTTACTGACTCTTTAGTTCCAGTGGAATCAGTGACGAACTATATCCAGTAGAGTTAGTGACTCATAAGATCTAGTGAAGTCAGTCAGCGGCTCATTAGATCTAGTGAAGTCAGTCAGCGACTCACTAGATCCATTGGAGGCAATGACTCCTTATTTTCAGTGAAGGAAGTGACACGTCAGATCCAGCGAAGATCGCTGGCCTCCTCCTTCCTTATTGCCTCGGCCTCTTTTTTGCCTCTGGTGAATCTGTAACCGCGAGTAGAAATGTTGATTGATGTCACTTCTCTAGGATGTTCTTTGACTCGCTGTTTCATCTTCACGGCGTTGATGAGAATGATACATGAGAAAATCAAAATGACCACGTTGGCACCTCCATCTCCGAATAGCATTACGTATGTAATACATTCTCCGCCTAGTACCACACCTGGAAACAGACGGGTAGGAATTACACCCTTATAACAAGGTAGACCAGGGTAGAGGTGTGTGTACGGTAGTGTGGTTATAGGACGGGTTACAACTAACAAGCCCAGATATGTGTGTGGTGTCAGTACGGTGGTGTGGTGTCAGTACGGGGAATGTGGTGTCAGTACGGGGGTGTGGTGTCAGTACGGGGAATGTGGTGTCAGTACGGGGGTGTGGTGTCAGTACGGGGATGTGGTGTCACTACGGGGGTGTGGTGTCAGTACGGAGGTGTTGTGTCAGTACGGGGAATGTGGTGTCAGTAAGGGGGTGTGGTGTCAGTACGGGGGTTCGGTGTCAGTACGGGGGTGTGGTGTCAGTACGGGGGTGTGGTGTCAGTACGGGGGTGTGGTGTCAGTACGGGGGTGTGGTGTCAGTACGTGGATGTGGTGTCAGTACGGGTGTGTGGTGTCAGTACGGGGATGTGGTGTCAGTAAGGGGGTGTGGTGTCAGTACGGGGGTGTGGTGTCAGTACGGGGGTGTGGTGTCAGTACGGGGATGTGGTGTCAGTAAGGGGTAGTGGTGTCCAGACGGGTTCAGTACACTAAAGGAGGAATCGATAGTGTGTGGAGCAGAATTTTAGACAGTAAATGGGAGTGGAGCAGAATTTAAAACTGTACAAGGGTATGTTGAGTAGCATTTTAGATAGTAAATGGGTGTGGAGCAGACTTTTAGACAGTAAATGGGTGTGGAGCAGACTTTTAGACAGTAAATGGGTGTGGAGCAGACTTTTAGACAGTAAATGGGTGTGTTGAGTAGCATTTTAGATAGTAAATGGGTGTGGAGCAGACTTTTAGACAGTAAATGGGTGTGGAGCAGACTTTTAGACAGTAAATGGGTGAGTTGAGTAGCATTTTAGATAGTAAATGGGTGTGGAGGAGACTTTTAGACAGTAAATGGGTGTGGAGCAGACTTTTAGACAGTAAATGGGTATGTTGAGTAGCATTTTAGATAGTAAATGGGTGTGGAGCAGACTTTTAGACAGTAAATGGGTGTGGAGCAGACTTTTAGACAGTAAATGGGTGTGTTGAGTAGCATTTTAGACAGTAAATGGTAGTGGAGCAGACTTTTAGACAGTAAATGGGTATGAAGCAGATTTTGGCCAATGGGGCCGCAAAGGGGTGTAGAACGGAACTGGACACCTTAACAAAACCTCCAATACTTTGGACAGTAACTTGGTATGGGTCAGACGTCGGGAAGTAAATGTAGGTTGTACGTAAGATTTTGCCTTGTAAAAGTAGCTTACGAGTCAGACTTTGGGCATTAAAAAGGTGTGGGGCAGACTTTTGATAGCAGTTATACTTTGGGAGGTTTATGTGTCTGCGGCTAACTTTGAACAGTAAATGAGGATGGGGCAACCTTTAAGCATTAAATGGGTCTAGGACAGACGTTGGGCATCATATGGGTATGGGACAGACGTTGGATAGTAAATGTGGTTTATGAGTCAGTGAATGTGTGTTGGGCATAGTTTGGACAGTAATGGGTTGGACAATCTTTGTACAATAAATTGGTGTGTGTTGATGTAGCATTTTAGACAGTAAATGGTTGGAGCAGACTTTTAGACAGTAAATGGGTATGAACAGAGGGGCATTTTGGAAAGCGGACTAGGGTAGGTGGAAAGGGAGGGAAAAACCTGGAAAGCGGACTTTGGACAGTAACTTGGTATGGGACAGAGTTTGAAAAAGCGGACTAGGACATTTGGCCTTGTAAAAGAGGGGCAGAGTTTGGGCATTAAAAAGGTGTGGGGCAGACTTTTGATAGCAGTTATACTTTGGGAGGTTTATGTGAGCTAACTTGAACAGTAAATGAGGATGGGGCAACCTTTAAGCATTAAATGGGTCTAGGACAGACGTTGGGCATCATATGGGTATGGGACAGACGTTGGATAGTAAATGTGGTTTATGAGTCAGTGAATGTGTGTTGGGCATAGTTTGGACAGTAATGGACTTCGGACAATCTTTGTACAATAAATTGGTGTGGGGAAGATTGATGTACCTGCTTGACAGGGACAAACTTTGGAAAGCGGACTAGGACAGGTGGATAGGGAGGGGCAGAGTTTGGAAAGCGGACTAGGACAGGTGGATAGGGAGGGACAGAGTTTGGAAAGCGGACTAGGACAGGTAGATAGGGAGGGACAGAGTTTGGAAAGCGGACTAGGACAGGTGGATAGGAAGGGACAGAGTTTGGAAAGCGGACTAGGACAGGTGGATAGGAAGGGACAGAGTTTGGATAGCGGATTAGGACAGGTAGGTAGAGAGGGACAAATTTTGAAAAGCGGACTAGGACAGGTGGATAGGAAGGGACAGAGTTTGGAAAGCGGACTAGGACAGGTAGATAGGGAGGGACAGAGTTTGGAAAGCGGATTGGGACAGGTAGATAGAGAGGGACAAATTTTGAAAAGCGGACTAGGACAGGTGGATAGGAAGGGACAGAGTTTGGAAAGCGGACTAGGACAGGTAGATAGGGAGGGACAGAGTTTGGAAAGCGGACTTGGACAGGTGGATAGTGAGGGACATAGTTTGGATAGCGGACTAGGACAGGTAGATAAGGAAGGAACAAATTATGGAAAGCGGACTAGGACAGGTGGATAGGAAGGGACAGAGTTTGGATAGCGGATTAGGACAGGTAGATAGAGAGGGACAAATTTTGAAAAGCGGACTAGAACAGGGTGATAGGAAGGGACAGAGTTTTGAAAGCGGACTAGGACAGGTAGATAGGGAGGGACAGAGTTTGGAAAGCGGACTAGGACCGGTAGATAGGGAGGGACAAATTTTGGAAAGCGGACTAGGACAGGTAGATAAGGAAGGAACAAATTATGGAAAGCGGACTAGGACAGGTAGATAGGGTGCAGAATTCGGATAGCGGACTAGGACAGATAGATAAGGAGGGACAGAGTTTGAAAAGCGGACTAGGACAGGTGGATAGGGAGGGACAGAGTTTGGATAGCGGATTAGGACAGGTAGATAGGGAGGAACAAATTATGGAAAGCGGACTAGGACAGGTGGATAGGAAGGGACAGAGTTTGTATAGCGGATTAGGACAGGTAGATAGGGAGGGACAAATTTTGGAAAGCGGACTAGGACAGGTGGATAGGAAGGGACAGAGTTTGGAAAGCGGATTAGGACAGGTAGATAGGGAGGGACAAATTTTGGAAAGCGGACTAGGACAGGTGGATAGGAAGGGACAGAGTTTGGAAAGCGGACTAGGACAGGTGGATAGGGAGGGACAAAGTTTGGAAAGCGGAATAGGACAGGTGGATAGGGAGGGAAAGAGTTTAAAAAGCGGACTTGGACAGGTAGATAGGGAGGGACAGAGTTTGAAAAGCGGACTAGGACAGGTGGATAGGGAAGGACAGAGTTTGGAAAGCGGACTAGGACAGGTAGATAGGGAGGGACAGAGTTTGGATAGCGGACTAGGACAGGTGGATTGGGAGGGACAGAATACAGTTATGAACAGAATGAACATAATTTTTAACATTAGTTTCACGTGCCTTATGGTTACTGGTGACTTTTTCTATCATTAGACGAACAGATTGTACGATCATCGAGATTAATACGTGTCGCTTGAGGCCACATTGTCAAAGGTTATGCAAGGGCAATAAGTTAGGTTAAGGAAAACGTTGTATAACGGCCAATTAGTTATAGGGTCTTAGGTTAAATGCTGAAAACTGAATAGGTTCACCGAATTGCATACAGGTCGAAGGTAGAATATTACAGAAGGGTCCACTGTTGGCCTAGGTCAAAGGTTATGTACAATTGGTGAGTAATCCACTGGCCTAAACTTTACAGGGACTAGCATGAATGACACACCTTTCAAACATCACATTGTAAACGCCTTGATAAATAAATACCGCGGTATGTTAACTGGTAAAGGTTGTGCTGCTTCTGAAGTAGCCGACCATGATATCGTGAAGCATGATTTTCAGCTTACATCGATGTATTTCAGTCTTGAAATAGCTGCGTCAGTTGAAATTAATTCGACGGACGAACACCAATCTGTCTACGGCAAAGCGTTTAAAAATACTTTGCTGAACTGTGGAATTTTGGCACTCTCAAATGTATTGACGTTGCGTTCAGTATAATTTGATTCTGCCTGTTTTATTTTGGTTAATGTCGCGACATATTTGACAGGTCACTTAATCACGTGACAATGGGAATTTTTATATACAACAGTCCTTGTTACACCTACTAACTTAAGTGTCTGTCATTTCAGTTTTATGATACGAGAAAGAACAATTTATAAACATGACTTCAATAAAAAAAATTGGTCAAAAACTATTTGACACCACTGACTGAAAGAGAGAAAAAAACAGAAGACAAGCACTAGTTTGACACAATATTAGAAATCAAGTATAAAAAGCATTAGTATGAAACAGACAAAACCGGAAATCAAGTAACACAATGAAAGAATTATTATGGGATAAAGAGTGCTAACAATCAAACATCAGCAGAATTAGAAAAAGAGAAACGGCAAAAGAATAAAATACCCCCCCCCCCCCCCCCCCCCCCAAAAAAAAAAAAAAAAAAAACACCAAACATTTCTTGATTCAAGCATTGGAAATAGAACATTAGTATCTGAATGAGAGGGTTAACCCGACAGGGACCATGTTTTACGTGCAATAATAACGGAAGTGTCTACTATACCTGGAGTTCCCGCACAGGCGTCATCTTGGGGACACATGTTGTAATAATATGTGGTCGCCCTCTTGTCTGAAATATAGATATAGACATAACTGTTTACAGACTAAGCACAGCCTGATAGGATATCGCATACACTTTTCCCTTCCGCCTTTGATTTATAATCTGTGTAATTCTTACCCTGATAGTCTGGTATGATTTCAGGATTCTGTCCCTTATTTTTCTCAATTACCTGGCCCCCTCACTCCCTTTCCCTCTCCCCTCATATTTACCTGTCTTACGGACTAGTTATTGCTTCCCCGGTAGTCTGACCCGTATTGTATTGGTTGTTTTCCCCTCTTCCCTCATATTTACCTGTCTTACTGGCTAGACATTACTACCCTGATAGTCTGACCCGTATTGTATTGGTTGTTTTCCCCTCTTCCCTCATATTTACCTGTCTTACGGACTAGTTATTGCTTCCCCGGTAGTCTGACCCGTATTGTATTGGTTGTTTTCCCCTCTTCCCTCATATTTACCTGTCTTACGGACTAGTTATTGCTTCCCCGGTAGTCTGACCCGTATTGTATTGGTTGTTTTCCCCTCTTCCCTCATATTTACCTGTCTTACTGGCTAGACATTACTACCCTGATAGTATGACCCGTATTGTATTGGTTGTTTTCCCCTCTTCCCTCATATTTACCTGTCTTACTGGCTAGACATTACTACCCTGATAGTATGACCCGTATTGTATTGGTTGTTTTCCCCTCTTCCCTCATATTTACCTGTCTTACGGACTAGTTATTGCTTCCCCGGTAGCCTGACCCGTATTGTATTGGTTGTTTTCCCTCTCCCCTCATATTTACCTGTCTTACGGACTAGTTATTGCTTCCCCGGTAGTCTGACCCGTATTGTATTGGTTGTTTTCCCCTCTTCCCTCATATTTACCTGTCTTACTGGCTAGACATTGCTACCCTGATAGTATGACCCGTATTGTATTGTTTGTTTTCCCCTCTTCCCTCATATTTACCTGTCTTACGGACTAGTTATTGCTTCCCCGGTAGTCTGACCCGTATTGTATTGGTTGTTTTCCCTCTCCCCTCATATTTACCTGTCTTACGGACTAGTTATTGCTTCCCCGGTAGTCTGACCCGTATTGTATTGGTTGTTTTCCCTCTCCCCTCATATTTACCTGTCTTACGGACTAGTTATTGCTTCCCCGGTAGTCTGACCCGTATTGTATTGGTTGTTTTCCCCTCTTCCCTCATATTTACCTGTCTTACTGGCTAGACATTACTACCCTGATAGTATGACCCGTATTGTATTGGTTGTTTTCCCCTCTTCCCTCATATTTACCTGTCTTACGGACTAGTTATTGCTTCCCCGGTAGTCTGACCCGTATTGTATTGGTAGTTTTCCCCTCTTCCATCATATTTACCTGTCTTACTGGCTAGACATTACTACCCTGATATCCAGATAAGTCATAGCAATCTTTAACTCACTCTCCCTACAGGGTTTCTTGTTCCATGTATTAGGCATACGTACCCTGGTAGTCAGATGGACTATCACAGACCATGCCCCCTACGACGTCGATATTTTGGGTGCTGATGGTAGTGAGGATCCAGAGATTTTCACACGTACATTCCCATCTGTTCCCGGTCAGGTTAAGGAAGCTCAGGGCCCCCAATGTGGACAGCACGTTGTTCGGGAGTCTAGTCAAACTGTTGTATGACAAGGAAAGAGTTTCCAAATTCGTGTTCTGCGTGAAAGTATCGGTCGGAAGGGACAGTGCCGACGACGTTGATAAGTTGTCGAGTATAATTGCTTTCACCTTGCTAAGTGGATAAAAGAATCCGCTGGGGAAGGTATTTGTGTCGAGGGCAAGGTTCATCATGGCAAACATTCCTAAAGCGTTAGGGATGGCTAGACGAGTGATGTTCAGTCCAGATAGACTGTCGGCATTAAGACCGTTTATCGACCCGCCATCGATGATGAGAGAGTCGAGATCACCAAAGTCAGCGAAAACGTTGTTCGCTAGACCTCCAGATAGAACACAGTTTGTTATCTTCAGTTCCTGGATATAGCCTAGTCCCGAGAATGTTCCGGCAAACAGTACCAGGTTCCCGTTAGATGCGCATTTGATTTCCAGACTGGCAGGGTAGTTAGTGTCCAGGTTTGCAATGGACATACTATTGAAACCGGAAAATGTAGCCGTTGGTGAGCTCGCCGGAAGCTGTCCGTCGACATTGTTGATAACGAGGCGCTGGGGATAAGGGGAACTAAATGTGTTGAATGTTAGAGGAAGCGTCACTGACGCAAAGTCACACGTAAATATTCCAGGAGTTCCGGTGGCACTACTATATGCGCATCCGCTCGGAAAGCTTTGACCCGAAATAAAATCACACAACGATAATAGGCTGACCAGCAATGTCCATTGTAATTTCAAACCAGGCGCCATTTTGATTTTGTCTTGACGCAAAATTAGTTTGCTATCGACAGATCAAACATATGGTAAAATTATTGGCGTGGACGTGTTGCGATTTTTTCCTTCCGCAGACTGAACGCTTCAGTTGATTATTTTTTCTATCCACGAAACTTTTGGCATAGCCCCGGTAGAACGCGGATTATCGTCAAACTTACCTAGAGCAGTCTAAACACGCGACCCGACCGGTAACATAATTTGGCTGGATTAAACATTCTCTTGCGTTCAAAAGGCGACTTATATTGGCACTATTCTATATAAGTAACAAGTTAAATGGTTATGAAAATTTAATCTAGTTTATTTTTGGAATTTGCATTGAATAACAAACACAAAAGTTAGTGATCGTGAAAATTGAACAGGTCCATACCAAGGTGTCGATCATCGTAATGGTGCGTGGTAGTGTGAGTTTGCAGAGGCAGTGTCTGACGTTTTCTGATTGTTGTGTGGTGATGATGTGCGGCGTGTAGAGGCAGCATTGTGCGGCGTGTAGAGGCAGCGTTGTGTGGCGTTATTATGGTGATGATGTGCGGCGTGTAGAGGCAGAGTTGTGTGGCGTTATTATGGTGATGATGAGCGGCGTGCACAGAAAGCGTTGTGTGGCGTGTAGAGGCAGCCGTGTGTGGTGCTATTATGGTGATGATGTGCGGCGTGTAGAGGCAGCCGTGTGTGGTGCTATTATGGTGATGATGTGTGGCGTGTAGAGGTAGCCGTGTGTGGCGTTATTATGGTGATGATGTGTGGCGTGTAGATGCAGCATTGTATGGCGTGTAGTGGCAGCTTTGAGTGGCGTTATTATGTTGATGATGTGCAGTGTGTAGATGCAACGTTGTGTGGCGTTATTATGGTGATGAGGTGCGTGTGTAGAGGCAGCATTGTGTGGCGTGTAGAGGCAGCATTGTGTGGCGTTATTATGGTGATGATGTGCGGCGTGTAGAGGCAGCGTTGTGTGGCGTGTAGAGGCAGCGTTGTGTTGCGTGTAGAGGCAGCGTTGTGTTGCGTTATTATGGTGATGATGTGCGGCGTGTAGAGGCAGCGTTGAGTGGCGTTATTATGGTGATGATGTGCGGCGTGTAGAGGCAACGTTGTGTGGCGTTATTATGGTGATGATATGCGGCGTGTAGAGGCAGCGTTGTGTGGCGTTATTATGGTGATGATGTGTGGCGTGTAGAGGCAGCGTTGTGTGGAGTTATTATGGTGATGATGTGTGGCGTGTAGAGGCAGCGTTGTGTGGCGTGTAGAAGCAGCATTGAGTGGCGTTATTATGGTGATGAAATGCAGCGTGTAGAGGCAGCGTTGTGTGGCGTGTAGAGGCAGTGTTGAGAGGCGTTATCATGGTGGTGATGTGTGGCGTGTAGAGGCAGTGTTGAGAGGCGTTACCTTGGTGATGATGTGCGTTGTGTAGAGGTAGTATTGAGGGGCGTTATTATGGTGATGATGTGCTTGTGTAGAGGCAGCATTGTGTGGCGTTATTATGGTGGTGATGTGCGGCTTGTAGAGGCAAAGTTGTGTAGCGTTATTATGGTGATGATGTGTGGCGTGTAGAGGCAGCGTTGTGTGGAGTTATTATGGTGATGATGTGTGGCGTGTAGAGGCAGCGTTGTGTGGAGTTATTATGGTGATGATGTGTGGCGTGTAGAGGCAGCGTTGTGTGGCGTGTAGAAGCAGCATTGAGTGGCGTTATTATGGTGATGAAATGCAGTGTGTAGATGCAACGTTGTGTGGCGTTATTATGGTGATGAGGTGTGTAGAGGCAGCATTGTGTGGCGTGTAGAGACAGCATTGTGTGGCGTTATTATGGTGGTGATGTGCGGCGTGTAGAGGCAAAGTTGTGTGGCGTTATTATGGTGATGATGTGCGGCGTGTAGAGGAAGCATTGTTTGGCGTTATAATGGTGATGATGTGCGACCTGTAGAGGCAGCGTTGTGTGGCGTTATCATGGTGATGATGTGCGGCGTGTAGAGGCAGCATTATTATGGTGATAATGTGCGTTGTGAAGAGGCAGCGTTGTGTGGCGTGTAGAGGCAGCGTTGTGTGGCGTTATTGTGACACTGACTGGGGTTATGGTGGTGGTGGTGTGTTGAGGTGACACTGACTGGGGTTATGGTGGTGATGGTGTGTGGTGTGTTGAGGTGACACTGACTGGGGTTATGGTGGTGATGGTGTGTGGTGTGTTGAGGTGACACTGACTGTTATGGGTGATGGTGTGTGGTTATGACACTGGGTTATGGTGGTGGTGGTGTGTGGTGTGTTGAGGTGACCCTGACCAGGGTTATGGTTTTGGTGGCGGTGGTGGTGGTGGTGATGGTGTGTGGTATGTTGAGGTGACACTGACTGGGGTTATGGTGGTGGTGGTGTGTTGAGGTGACACTGAGCAGGGTTATGGTGGTGATGGTGTGTGGTGTGTTGAGGTGACACTGACTGGGGTTATGGTGGTGTTGGTGTGTGGTGTGTTGAGGTGACACTGACTGGGGTTATGGTGGTGATGGTGTGTGGTGTGTTGAGGTGACACTGACTGGGGTTATGGTGGTGGTGGTGTGTTGAGGTGACACTGACTGGGGTTATGGTGGTGGTGGTGTGTGGTGTGTTGAGGTGACACTGACCAGGGTTATGGTGGTGAGGGTGTGTGGTGTGTTGAGGTGACACTGACTGGGGTTATGGTAGTGGTGGTGTGTGGTGTGTTGAGGTGACACTGACTGGGGGGTTATGGTGTGTGGTGGTGAGGTGATGGAGGGTTTATGATGGTGGTGTGTGGTGTGTTGACGTGACACTGACTGGGGTTATGGTAGTGGTGGTGTGTGGTGTGTTGAGGTGACACTGACTGGGGTTATGGAGGTGGTGGTGTGTGGTGTGTGGAGGTGACATTGACTGGGGTTATGGAGGCGGTGGTGTGTGGTGTGTTGAGGTGACACGGACCAGGGTTATGGTGGTGGTGGTGATGGTGCGTGGTGTGTTGAGGTGACACTGACTGGGGTTATGGTGGTGGTGGTGTGTTGAGGTGACACTGACTTGGGTTATGGTGGTGGTGTGTTAAGGTGACACTGACTGGGGTTATGGTGGTGGTGGTGTGTGGTGTGGTGACTTGACACTGACCAGGGATATGGTGGTGATGGTGTGTGGTGTGTTGAGGTGACACTGACCAGGTTGATGGTGGTGGTGGTGTGTGGGGGTGGTGTGTGTGTGTGTGGTGACTGGGGTTATGGTGGGTGGTGTGTGGTGTGTTGAGGTGACACTGACTGGGGTTGGTGGTGGTGGTGGTGGTGTGTGGTGTGTTGAGGTGACACTGACACTGGTGGTATGGTGTGTGGTGTGTTGAGGTGACACTGACTGGGGTTATGGTGGTGGTTGTGTGTGGTGTGTTGAGGTGACACTGACTGGGGTTATGGTGGTGGTGGTGTGTGGTGTGTTGAGGTGACACTGACCAGGGTTATGGTGGTGGTGGTGTGTGGTGTGTTGAGGTGACACTGACTGGGGTTATGGTGGTGGTGGTGTGTTGAGGTGACACTGACTGGGGTTATGGTGGTGGTGGTGGTGTGTGGTGTGTTGAGGTGACACTGACCAGGGTTATGGTGGTGGTGGTGTGTGGTGTGTTGAGGTGACACTGACTGGGGTTATGGTGGTGTGTGGTGTGTTGACGTGACACTGACTGGGGTTATGGTAGTGGTGGTGTGTGGTGTGTTGAGGTGACACTGACTGGGGTTATGGTGGTGGTGGTGTGTGGTGTGTTGAGGTGACACTGACTGGGGTTATGGTGGTTATGGTGTGTGGTGTGTTGAGGTGACACTGACTGGGGTTATGGTGGTGGTGGTGTGTGGTGTGTTGAGGTGACACTGACTGGGGTTATGGTGGTGTGTGGTGTGTTGACGTGACAATAACTGGGGTTATGGTAGTGGTGGTGTGTGGTGTGTTGAGGTGACACTGACTGGGGTTATGGTGGTGGTGGTGTGTGGTGTGTTGAGGTGACACTGACTGGGGTTATGGTGGTGATGGTGTGTTGAGGTGACACTGACCAGGGTTATGGTGGTGGTGGTGTGTTGAGGTGACATTGACCAGGGTTGTGGTGGTGATGGTGTGTGGTGTGTTGAGGTGACACTGACTGGGGTTATGGTGGTGGTGTTGTGTGGTGTGTTGAGGTGACACTGACCAGGGTTATGGTGGTGGTGGTGTGTGGTGTGTTGAGGTGACACTGACTGGGGTTATGGTGGTGATGGTGTGTGGTGTGTTGAGGTGACACTGACTGGGGTTATGGTGGTGGTGGTGTGTGGTGTGTTGAGGTGACACTGACTGGGGTTATGGTGGTGGTGGTGTGTGGTGTGTTGAGGTGACACTGACTGGGGTTATGGTGGTGGTGGTGTGTGGTGTGTTGAGGTGACACTGACTGGGTTGATGGTGGTGATGGTGTGTTGAGGTGACACTGACTGGGGTTATGGTGGTGGTGGTGTGTTAAGGTGACACTGACTGGGGTTATGGTGGTGGTGGTGTGTGGTGTGTTGAGGTGACACTGACCAGGGTTATGGTGGTGATGGTGTGTGGTGTGTTGAGGTGACACTGACTGGGGTTATGGTGGTGGTGGTGTGTGGTGTGTTGAGGTGACACTGACCAGGGTTATGGTGGTGGTGGTGCGTGGTGTGTTGAGGTGACACTGACCAGGGTTATGGTGGTGATGGTGTGTGGTGTGTTGAGGTGACACTGACTGGGGTTATGGTGGTGGTGGTGTGTGGTGTGTTGAGGTGACACTGTGGTGGTGTGGTGTGGGGTTATGGTGTGTGTGTGAGGTGACACTGACTGGGGTTATGGTGGTGGTGGTGTGTGGTGTGTTGAGGTGACACTGACTGGGGTTATGGTGGTGGTGGTGTGTGGTGTGTTGAGGTGACACTGACTGGGGTTATGGTGGTGGTGGTGTGTGGTGTGTTGAGGTGACACTGACTGGGGTTATGGTGGTGGTGGTGTGTGGTGTGTTGAGGTGACACTGACTGGGG